ACATGAATAAAAGCGCTGCACGCGTTCCTTTCGAAAGATGCCCCGTCGCTGGTAAGCAAGAATGTTGGCGAGCTACTTGTGAAAAATAGATTTCAACGTGGGGAATTCAACGATCGTTTCGACAAAAGCCAACAATTCCGACGCGCGTTCTTTTGCGTTCGTTATTCGACCGCATTAAAGCTGTCCATCTCTCGTCTGTTCGATCGTCGTGATTCTTTCTGCCGAGACGCATAATATATAAATTAGACGTGGTACCACTTCTGTATATACGCACGCTGTAATAGAAATTGAATTTTTTATTCGTGTACGAAGTCAAAAAATTACTGGGAAAATTGTTCGAAGAATGAGTCGGGAATTTTCATTCATGCGTCGTTTCTTCCTATTTTTGTTACAACTTGTTCGCGCAATAAACTCGCGCGTATCGCGATACGTTCTTCGATAGCGCTTCGAAGAATTAGGAAATACTCGCTGGCTGAGAAAATTTTTGCGGCGTAAATTGATGAAGTTGCCGGTGCAATTTTTCGTTCGTTGAAAAAATAAAAATTATTCATGAAAGTGTTTCGTGTGTGTTGTACGTGAAATTTTTCGCGCTCAGAAAGGAAAAGATAACCAAAAATTTGAGAGTAACACGGTTAAAAGGCTGTTATGCGGACAGAGAAGGAGGGGAGAGAGAGGGAAGAGATGAGGGGGAGGAAACGCTATCTTCATAACGATCGATTTCCTTGAAGCGTGAATTTGCGAAGCATCAACGACGGTTTCACTATGGTCGATGCTGAGAGACGGAGCCGAGGATGGAAAATAGTAGACGAGAGATAGAATTCGTTCGACTTCGTAATTTGACTCGAAATTGCTTACTTCCACCGTAGTTACATACTTACGGTGAAGTAATTGCGTTCTTACAACAGTGCCTTTCATCGCTGAGTTCTCTTTCTTCTTCCGGCGCGCAGCGTCGTGGTTGTAGTCTGTATCGTCATAATGACGATATCTCAAACGTCGTTATAAAATAATAGATACAATTATTCTTTTTAATTATATCGTTATTGCGTTAGTGTTTTTCATTATTGTACGTCATTTTTTTATCGCAAATGTGTGAAAGGACAAAAGACACAAACAATAACGTTTTTAACATGCGATATATCGAGATGTTAATTTTTTTTTGGAGGGGGGAAAGAGTAGGTTTCGTAAATATATTTGTGTAAAGCAAAAAGAACAACATAAAGGAGACACACAATGATATTCCTGAAATAATTGCTACTTTATTATTATACGAATACCATTCATACGTCGCAAGTGAAAAATATTATGTATTCGAAGATATCGAGAAGGGAGCCCGCTTATTTTCTCGACACATTTTATTATGTAATATAAACTTATGTGTTATACATCGCTACATATGCTTTGGCTTAATCGCTAAGTCCTATCGGCTATCCTTACACGGCTAGAATGCACAGTGACTTGTACAGAATCATCGTCGTGGCACTCCACTCATACTCCTTCCATTGATCTGTCATTGATTTGTCATTTTCACGCGGATTGGCAACGCGCGAAAGAGAAGAGAACAAAACCAAAGACGCGCGTGTCGCTTTGTTGTTAAAATGAATATTTACTAATAAAATGCAAAATGCGCAATAAAAGAATACTAAAACAACAACTGTAATTAATATAATTAAGTAAAATCCTCATGTAGAATTTTGTATAACACTCGGATTATACAAAAACCAAAAAAAAAAACAAAGTTATGAAGATACTCTACTCGCTTAAGGATACAAAAAAGAACCGCATCTCGTATTATTATTTCCGACTGCGACTCAAATACTTTTATTTATTTAAGGACAATAAATTTTGCAACTGCTTGTGTTATCGTTTTATTTCGATTATGTGCCTTTTCTCTTTCCGCGTTCAAAAATGCTCTCGTGTCACGAAAGCGCGTTCTCGTTTAGTTTACAAAACGTTTATCCTTAATGCGTCTAACTGCAAGACAGCAACGGCTCGGTCCTTCTCTGTGTATGTGTTTGTATAATTATTTATATATGTATATATCTATGTATATCGGGAAATGAAAAGCGGCTGTCTCTTATCGCCACGCGATATTGTTACATGAAAGATTTTACAATACACTTAGTAGATTTCCGTCTCGGGGAATTAGCTCGGCTCCAATATTTCATCTCACCCCTCGTCGCCTACGATGGCTTTTAAGAGATTCTCTCTAGCGAAGATCAGCCGCTAATTATTGCGAACGATCGGGTTTTAACGTAATACGAGAGCATCATAAGTATCGCCGTAATTAAGGTTAACCCCGCACTCGAAAGATATGGATCGAGAAAGCCCTTTTACATCTTCTGTAGAAAAACGCGCCACGATGTTAATAAGCGATTTTTTGTAGCTGATGATCTCTTGAATAAAATTCCGAAAGTGTGAAATCGTGCAACTACTATAATTCAGAGATCGAGAGATTGTAGTTCGCGTGAATATCGTTTTAACACTTCGACTGCCACGTCGATATTTTATTTACTCACATTTTATTTACTCGATCAGTAAAGACATTAGTGGAGTAAAAAACAAATTGCAGTAGAGTCAATAAACTATATATTAAAACATATATATTAAAAAAAATAATAAAATTATGACTTCTATACTAGTTTTTAAAAATAAAATTACTGTAACATTGATTAAAAATGATATAATTGAGTATAAAAGTCATATTTATATTTTTTCGTACACGCACAATATTATTTTATACAAATGTGTTTCACACACGTCTACACAATTTGGAGAAAATTTGTGGCAGTCAACATGTTGTTTGGCTGCTTGAAATCGAAAAATTTCAGCAGAAAGTGCGTTTGTATAAAAAGATATATTAGCATCTTACTTTATTCGAGTATTGTCCAAGGTGCGTAAAGCGAATTTAACGCATTTGTTATTAATGTTATTTATGAATAGAAAGAGCTGATATTCTTCTCCGAAAAGTTACAATCGCGCGAAAAGTCTACGTTACAAATTTGAAAATTTTTCCGCGAAATATCGAGGCATTTTCTGCGTTGTCATCGCAAAGACAGCCTTTCATTTCGATTCGTAGCAATAAAAAAAATCGGAATTGTAAAGGAGGAGGCAGTACGCGAGCTTGCATTTTTGCTCGCGTACCATTATTTTTCATAGCATGTTTATTTCACATTTTCGTGAGATCCGACGCAGCAAGGGAGTCATTTATACTATTGTCGTCCACGCGCTCACACAGCAGTGATTTTCGAAAATTTACACGACATTTTGTTGCAGTAACGGAAACGGACACAATAGCGGCCTTCGTCTCGTTCATTTCCCGTTTGAAATTAATCTCTCAATCCGGATAAAAAGTTGTACAGTTACAATATTTTAGCTACACGCAGGCCTTTATTCTCGCCGCGCGCTTAGCGCCAAGTGCGTCCGTCGGATATCCTCGCGCACGGATTAAAATGTCTTTCTTTCCTTCTTCGCTCTTTGCTTTATATTATTACTAGGACAACACCGGCGCGCTCTACGCGCACGCTATTATTGTTTTTATTTTAACGTGTTGTGTCAGTGAACACAACCTGTCACCGCAATGACAGCTAGTATATACGTTTTACAAATCATATAATACACATTAGAGAAATGTCAGAAATAACGCGCATGAAAATCAAAATCAAAAAATAGTGAAAGGGAGGAATGGAAAAATAACACGTTTTTAAAGTCACGTGACTGTAATCACGTGTTGTTTTTCCTTTTCTCACTGTTACGTGACTTTATTTTAGTTACGTTTCTAAAGACACGAGCAACGAAGAAGTCGCGCTCGAACAGTGCGAGGCAGTACCGTGCTTCTTGATTCGTACGACATGAATCGAGAAACACATTTGAGAAACGTCCAATCAGCGTCGAGATAAAAGCGGCAACAATCAAAATTGATAGAATCGATGTGATTATTTACACACGCTTTTTCTGGTAGGATTTAATTAATTGTATGAGTTTCGATCTCGAACAGTTGGCGCTAAATAGTCGGCAAAAATAACGGCCTGAACGCTTTACGTGTGTGAAGGACAAGCCGTGCGTCAACGTAAGCGTCGCGTGCGAAATTCAGCGTATCCCTAAAGATCCATGTATCTGAAGAGATTTTCACTCCGTTCGTTCTTCTTTTACATTCACATTTTACGCGTTTTTCGCAAAAACAGAAGAAAACGGGCGCCAAATTTCGCGTCGCGTTCGCCGTTAATACAGGCCTAATAATTAACGAGTTACGATTAGACATTAGTTATTATCGTTAAATTTATACCTAAGATATAATACACTCACCTAAAACGTACCTGATGATATCTTTGTAAAAATTTCCCTACCACGCCACGGGAGAGAGATAAAGAGACAGAGATTGAAAGTGACAGAGAGAAAGGGAATGAGATAGAAAGATAGAAAGAAAGAAAAGAGAGAGAGAGAAAACACAGCCCTCTCGCAAGAGAAGAAAAAAATGTTGACGGAAACCCGCTCTCTGTAGATCCTACCTTTTATTCTCCGGTTTCACTTGCCGGCATCGTCGAGCGAGGAGAAACGCTTTGCGAAAAAACCACAACTGAGATTCCGAGAGAGCGCGCGCGCGCGCATTTTGTCAATATCACTCCATGACATTTTATCCGATTTGGTCGAACGTGGACAACCGTTCTCTTGGTTTTCGCGCAATATTTTGATCTTCTCGATATCGTTGCGCGATTGCACGTGTCGCGAGATTGCTGTGTTGATCGCGAGCAATCTTTTCGTAAAGGAAGTTCTGCGGATGTGAAGAGATAATAACACAGAAAGCAGCAAAGATTCGCAGGGGAATATATTATATATGCAAAAATAAAGGTAGCTCAGTTTCAGCAATAAAGCCATTTTCGTGTTTTAAATTCACCCACGTTTTGGTTAGAGCATGAATTTTTAAGTACTATATTAAAAAAATTAAAATATATATACATTTCATTTCTCTCAAAATTGTATTTAACAATTTAGTCCGTAAAAACTTTTTTGCCGGGATAGTCGTACTTTAGAAATATTAAAACAGAGGTACGCGCGGAGATCGAGAATTTTTTTCATTTGCGGATATTAACTTTATCATGAACTCCGTTTTAGCAATTTTCGTTTTATATATGTACTTCCGAAAAAACTTGGCGCGAATCTCTTCTCCTTCTTCTTAGCCGCCGCTGTTGCACGGAAGAAAATAGCAAACCGATAAAAACTTCACTCTAAGTAACGTATATATTTATCGTGTTCTCGAGTGCTCCGGTTTAATCTCGAGGTGAGATTTCCAGTTAGAGATGTGATGCACGCGATGGTTAAATTTTGCACCGTGAAGTTCTCGCATGCGCGTGTAGCCCGCCGATCACTTTGCGATTCGGTCACTTGTACCGACGTCGTTAAACCGTCGGCTTAATCGCGACTAATGTTTTTCTTCCGGAAAGTAGAAGTCATTTTCACAATTATGCCAGAATTTGTTCGTTCTTTCGACGATCGCGTGCATGCGCGAACGTCGTACGTTATTACACCTCGTCCCGACGACTCGGTTCCGAAAACTCCAACAGTTTTCGACGCGAACAAAAGTTGCAAGTTAATTTCAACGGACGCCGACTCGTCGAATATGATACGTAAATTTCAGGAAATCCGCCATATTTGACACCGTTGATCTCTGTGAATCGATAGTACGGCCGGATAAGTTTATCATCCGTCGAAGAATCGCGATGTTATTTGCCCGCCGCGCCGCGAACCACATCGAAACACGAAGCGCACACGAATGCGATTTTGTATTCAATCCGCGAGATGCACAAACACTCCATAATACATATGTATTTTTTTGTTTCACGTTTTTTTTATGGCGCAGAGCTCCGCCGTAGCAAATTCGACAAACATCTATTGTTCAATTACGCGAAAAAATAAAAATTCGCATCGACAAGTGAAAATCGAGCCTCAAACGCATTTTATACGCGATATACGCACGCGGAAACATGATACGATACGCGCCAGCTGTTCGAATTTCTCTTTGGTGATCTTTGTATTTTCGATGTTTCCGAGGGAGGGATTTGAACCATAAATGCATCGCGCGCTCAATAAACGTGATATCAAACGACGATAAATGCAAACGGGGAGTGAAATAAAGCCGCGCGCCCCGTTTGTCCGCGCGATATTACGCAACAGAGTCGGAAATATTAACTATAATTCTCGAATTATTGCATTACGAGATGCGCGTTCGGTAGTTCAATTTATTATTGAAAATACATTGCGCACACAGAGAATTATTAATAGTTGTTTTCTTGTACATAAGCACTGCACATACTTTTATCAAGTGGGAGTGAAAGAAACTGATCGCTCGCGTCTCTCTCAGAGCGTCTCGGTTTTCTCTCGCGCGACTCGCTCTCCTCGCTCGTCTCGTTCGCGAGAACTTACGCGACAATCCTACATCCTACGAGCGGGTTACTTTGGTACACGTGTTCGTGGAGGGATGACCTGTGCACGGACGATGACTACCAGTGATACCAGTTGATGACGGTGCCCGGCGTGCTCTCCGAACACGGATTCACGCTGCCGCACCATTTGGTCTCCTTTAGAGGCGGACACGGCATGCCGCCCCGGCGCGGTTTTATCGTCACCTTCCGCGTCCTCTGGGTCTCGCCCACGCCGCAGCTGCGACTGCACGCGCTCCACGGGCCCCATTCGCTGACCTTGCAATCTCTCGGTGCACCTGAAATCACGAATGCAATTATTCCGCTCGAGCGGCTCTGCGGGTCCACGTCTAATCTAGCGACGTGTACGAGGAAATTCTACGGGCGAGTGAGGCGATCCTCGGCTGAGACGAATGAGAGTCGAGAGAGCGAGCACCCTCGCCTCGTGAATTTTGTCTTGACGGTTCTCTCGCAAACGAGGTTAAAGGACTCGTTTGGGATTTAATTGTCAAGATAATGAATTTAAAATTGAAAAAATTTCAATGAGAGAGAAAGAGAGAAAGAGGAAAAGCGTGTCTTTTTCTCGTTAAAGTTTAGACAAGATGAACTCGAAGTGATTACAGAAATGTACGATAAATCAATCAAATGTAGACTCGCGATAAAGCAAGGCTTTACAAATGCTTTTATATTTCTTTATTCGCAATAACAAGTACATACACGTTACTTAATAACGATATAGAAAAAAAAAAAAAAAAAAAAAAAAAACGGAAAGAGAGAAGAGAACCGGTCGGTTATTTATATTTTCGCAACAATGTAATAGCTGCGCACTACTATCGGATTAAACACATAACACGCTCTGAGCGTTTGATACGATCGCGCGCGAGGAAAAGGGATGTTGCACATCCATATCGCATGGGAAAGCGGAACGATGAGCGAACGCGAGACAGAAAGTGCAGGGTGGAGGACACAACGCGAATGCGAGAGACAGGGAAAGGATAGCGCGCTAGGTGAGGAAGAGGGCGAGAGGAAAGAGCGTGGAAGCGCGCTTTGATCATTTACGCGGGAAATATGGCTATTGAGAGCGCGCTCCGGCTTTTGCATTAGCTGCCGCCAATGAAAAACTGCAGCGAGGGGATTTGTCCGGGTACCGCTTTCGTTGTGTGTGCCGTTTAAAGAGTTAATTAGAGGCTCGATTAGACAGCAAAAGCGAAGGTTCCGCGAAGAATCGAAAAACATTTTCAATTATGTCTGTAATCGTCGGATTATCGGTGACCAATAGTAACGCGACTATATCGATCATGTGTCGCACACGCGCGTAAACTCCGTCGATTACATCGGCATCTTTTCATCGTATTCTTTCAGGAATGAAAGAGTTGATATTGCAACGCGATACTTCGAATTTACTATAAGCAAATGATAACCTTGATTTAACAAATAATTACAGAATAAAAATTTGCGCAAAAGAAAAGCCAGCGTTCAGATTTGTTGGCTTTTTTCTTTTTAATGTAATTTTAAATTATTACATGTAATACACGTAGGAATTTAATTTAAAATTGCTCGAATTTAAGATGATCAACGATCTGAATATTTTTATATACTCACGTATTCTAACTCGTTTGCCCTTGGTCAAGCCGCGATGTTTCATTCTGAATCTGTGCTGACGTTGATCCGCCAAATTGGTCGCGTTGCCCGCGTATGAGAAGGCATCGGCGCCGCTGCTCGACACGCTCGTCGCGTTCGCCATCTTCCTCTGTATGTCCTCGTAGATCTGCGCCTTCTGCGCGTCCGCCGTTTGCCTGTACGTCTGATAGTACGGCCAGTCGGACTTGCCCGTTTCGCTGTATCGCGTTTTACCGTCGACGATCTTAGACGCACGCGGCACCGGAGTTGCGGCGGCGTATCGCGGCCTCTGGAGCGCGTACGACGAGGCGATGCTGCTGATTATCGCCGCTTTGTTGTCGCGCGGAACGTCCGTCACCACTTGCGGGCCGCTTCCGGTTGTGCTCCAGTATCTGAAAAATTCGAAGGATTGTTTACTTGCGCACATATGTATATTGTTATTCATGACGCACGCGAAATATTAATTGAATTAATCTCGAGCGGTCTCAAGGTTATAAGTTCGAAAAAACTTTGAATATAAATTATCTGATTAAAACGAAGAAGAGAGATCGAAGATTTTAATTAAAAATACTCGGAGATCAGAAATTTGTTTTTGGCACTTTGCGCAATTATATCCATAGAAGATATCACGTGATGAGTATAATAGTAAACCGCTAGGCGCATAATTCAACTTCCGGACGTTTTATTTATTTATATATGAATATCATTTGTTATGTTAATATTATTCGCTGATAGTACTGCTCTGTTGTTGTTGGACGCGCGTGTGTTTTGACGGACGTATCGTAACGCGAATCGGCGAAATTTCCATTACTGTCCCGTCCATAAACTCGCAATCAATACCCGATGAATATACATGCAGTCAGTCGGTGCGGTGCAGCGGAACGCCGCAGTGTAGACAGCGCCTAGACAGTAATAAGTTGGACGAGCCTGTTAGGTAGCAATTACTAAATGGAACTGGTCAGGTATTAGCGGCGGGGCTGAACTTGTCGGACGCCATTTGCTAAACACGTACGTGGTGTATATATATATATATATATATATATATAATACATATATATTTATATAAAGCCGGGATAATACCCAGCAACGACGACGCTCTGCGTGAAGTTGAAAATTAATTATTCCGCAGCGCGGGAAGGTAAAATCCCGCGAATTTGCAAATGACAAAAATGCCCCGAGCTCACGCGCTCGATTTGTCGACGAATTAATTTAACCGACCGAATGTTACAATTGCCGAAGCGGCAACTTACGCTCCAATTATGACTGTGAATCGAATAAATTTGCATATCACAGTCATGTGTGTGTCTATATGTATACATATATAGAGAGAGAGAGAACTCATACTAAGTTATAAATAACGTTATTCTTTTTATTTTTTGTTTGTATATAATAATATATATAATATATATGTATATTTAACATATAATATTTAATTACAACGTTTGGATTCACTGAACGTGCTAAGTGATGCATCGAGGCTGCTGCTTTGCACGATCAAAACCGGCGGCTTGTTCAAAATTTATGCCGCTCGAGGAAGCTCACAGGATCAAAATCGGTCGGGTTTGTTATGAACCCGTCTCCGCACACAAACGCTTCTCCGTGAGTTTTCGGTTGTACGTGCAACTTCGACGAATCGAGGCGATGCGCGAGAGGCGTATGGGCGCGCGAGAACAATTTCGAGAATTGATTTACGGTTGGCATGTGGTACACATAAGAGAGCCGGAATCAAGAGGATTGGCGTTTGTTCGGACAGCAGCAGCGTGTATCTCCCCGAAACTTGTGTGTTTCACTGCGGACGGAAAACTTATTCATCGTACGCTTCGCCCGTGTTTCTGTTTCGCTCTTTCTCCGATTCGCGATCCTGTCAACCGTGGAAAATTCGCGTTCTGCACGCGCGTTCGCGGCGAGATGTCGTTTTCGCTGTGTAAAAGCGTTTGTTCCCGCTCTCTCTCTCTCTCTCTCTCCATCTCTCGATACCGATGATCCAGCCGGGATTTTGCGTCTCTCGGTTGCGTGCCGCCGGTGACATTTGCGATTTAATTACTATCGACGATTTGCTGAGAAAATGTGCAATCGGTTAGAAAATTGTGTTTAATTACATTAATCACAAATAACAATTGTAATTTATGACCCAATTAAGCAATTACATTTTGCAATATGTAAGCAATGTAGTTGGCGCGCGTACATCCATCAGATCCGAACGCGCTTACGAAACCGGAATTGTCTAATTATAACGATTATCCTCTAATTATGAATCTCATTGTTCCGTTTGTGCAGTCCGGGCATTGTTAAAATAAGATAAAATTACTCTGTACATTCTCTCGTACAACACACGTATATCGCAATAATAATATTTATTAATCCCATGTAGTCGCATAACCTTGAAAGCGTCGGTTTGTTTTTTATATTCTCTGCTATCACCTCAAAGTTTTTCTCGCTGCAATAATTCAACGTGAAACGTTACTTGTTTTTAACTAGTAATTAATTTATTACTACCGAGAACGTCTCATTGGCATTAAAAACACGGCGGCGCGACTCGTTTAGCATAATCGTATTTTCCGCACGATAATTTGCATGTATGCAGATCTTGGCATAAGTTTACGTTTTTCTCCTACGCTTTAATATTCCTTCAGGAAGTTACGTGGTTCGCGGCCGGCCACGTTAAGCGCGCTGAGTGCCGCGGCTTGTAGGTCGACATAACTTTTTAATTAAACTGACCTACCATTACTCTGCCGCTGTCAACCGAAAAACCTAAACGAATCCCGCGCGCGAGGAACTTTGCTCCCAGGCGGTGGAAAACTTGCCGTCTGATTGTGCACCGGGCGGAAAAGCCATCGTCTTAAACTCCGCAGTCGACCCGCGCGAGTGTCAACAATCGAGGATCGATCGGAGACTACCGTTTACCGGTAGCAGCACGCGAAACTCGACTACTCGCGAACGATCCGAACGTGGAATTTTACTCGTAGGAAATCGAGAAGCTATATTCGGTTCTTAATCGGCAACACGGCTCTCCATTCTTGTTACATTCTGAACCAGGGTTCGTGTAACGACGTCGTCTCCGCCGATTATGGTCACGTCGCAGGCCCTGCAGGAAGTTCGGCGAAGTAGGGTAAACACAGTACACAGTCGTTGGCAATCAGTATAGTTACAGGCGTGGGGCGAAGCACCGCAGGAAATTGTCTCCGAACGTTATTACCTTTACTTCATAACTTCATTCGAGGGGACGTCTTTTGTCGGAGCGTTGGAAAGCGATGTTCCCAATCGCTTGAAAATTTCTTTAATTTTTCTAACTAATACTTTGACGAGAAAACTCTTTTACGCGACATCTCGCAGATTAATAGTTACTTCTATGGATGTGTCACTTTCTCTCATATAAAAAAACCCTTCTTAAATATATAAAAAAAAACATCTAAAGTTTTGCGAGCGTTTTAAATCACAAAATACTTTTTCAGACACAAAAAGTGTATTAGAGAGCTTGATAAATGTTAATTTTCTGACAAACACGAGCTTCCTTCTCAAAGTTAACAATAAAAACCGTTTAACAACGAACAAATGACGACATCGACGATAAATCACGATTTTCCGAACGATAATACATCGCATCAGCTCGTTCAAGACACCTCTTCTAAGCCTTCGTTGCGTGGCTGTTTTATATCGATTTTTCATTCTTCTCGCTCGGGCAGAAGAGTATTTGTTGCCCGTCATCTCGATGAGCCCAAAATAATCGGTCGAAGTGCGCCTTTATCGCGCCGAAACTTATTGCTGGTCGTTAGCTTTTGTACAAAACCGAGAATCATTTTATTTCGTGACCGCGCGGGGGGAAAAACACGGCCGCGCGTAATGCGCGCGTATGTATTTCCATCTCCGCGCGGGTTTCGTCGAACGGAACTCGATAAGATTGTTAATAACGACGATAATACACGATAATATACAATATAACACACCATCACGACGGGCGATTCGCGAACTCTTACAGAAACCGCTCTCGCGGTTTTTTCATTTATTTCGTATCATGCGCGCGCGGCGTCGGAATTTAAAAGCGATGGACTTAATACGTCCTCCCGGGAGAATGTGACACAATATGAACACCGGTGAATTAATTGCGCGCTAATGTGTGTGCTCGCATTTGACAGGGTTGGACGGGGGAGAGAGCGAGTGAGGGGATGGAGAGACTTTGAGCGTTAATGCATGCGTGTGCGCGTCGCGTTATTGGTCTCGGATTTTACCTCCATTGTGTGACGGCGCGCGCGATACGCGTAACATCCATTATTCCGTAAGCCGGTTCCCTTTTTGCCCGATACAATTTTTCGGGTGCGCGCGCGAAACGCTTAGTCGTCGTCGAAATCGTCAAAGAGTTTCTCGATGAATTCGCTATCGGTTCGTTTCGCCAGCAGCAATTCGTTATCCGCGATTTTCGATATTATCGCGCGCTTGATAACACGCAGAAAATTTAAAGCGCAATTAGTATCTCTGGGTGGAAAAGAGATTTTCGGGACAACGTTCGGGAGATTCGCGATATTGTTCGATATACGAGTGCGAACTATGGCAAAGATTTTCCAACATACTCTGCAGCAAGACCATTTACATTTGGATTATGCAAGCTGTGCCCGCAGCTCGGTTCCCGCGCGGGATTATAACGAGACTCCGTGCAAAATGTGAAAAAAAAATGTTTTCGGAAATATTTTATTGCAGCACCGCGTAATAGCTGTGGCGTAGAAAACAAAAAGTTTATATTCATTCTAATATCGTCGCGTGAATATTCAAGCAAGCGGCGTCATTACTACTTGACAGAACAGATCGAGATTCCGGAGTGGCAGGATGTGGATCTGAAATGTCGGCTGCAGCGGCGGTGGCGGCAGCAGCAGCGGCAGCGGCGCGTCTCGTTTTACTTTCATTTCTTCGACGTCGCGTGCGCTGAAAAATGCGCGCGCGGAAAATAAATTACCGGCGGCGGGAAATAAATTATCGGGCGCATTACGATCGTTCCGCGTGTTCGCGACTCTTTCTCAGGCTTCTCTTCCCGTTTTCTCCCCGCGAACACAGAGACGGCAAAAGGGATGCAATGAACGATACCGTCTAGGCACGTCGTTCGTTACAGTTACTTCTTGTTAGACTCGGGGCCCTGCTCTATCCAGCAGTAAATTCATTGGAACGTGCTGTATGCCGCGGCTCCACAAATGGCACTATTACTTGGACCGCGATGGGGATTTATACGTGGTTAGTCGCGCGCGCGTGCCTTTCTTGCGATGCATTCTCGCGTCCCCTCCTTGCTAATTAACTTTATGACCGCGCGCGCGCGCGCGGAAGGGCGTGAACCACCACGCGTTGTGACGCACGCGAATTTCGCGTTACTAAACGAATTCGCGGGAATTCATCAGGCTTCTATTCTCTG